ATCACAAAACACAAACAGAAAATGAGTTATCACAGTGAACAATTTAGACCGATGCAATTTCCCCAGCAATTGCGCCAAATTTGACGTGAGCTGTCGAACTGCGCAAATTAAAAATTATTTTTATTTAGGGTTCAGAAAATTTGCAGTAAAGTGGAAACCCTAAGTCGTCTCTCAAGAAAATTGTTTTGGTAAAAATCGCTTATAAAAACAGAAAATAAAAAGGGGGGTTTTAGATTTCGGTTGAATAATTAAAAGACAGAATATAAAAATTGGTATTAAAAATTAACCAACCTAAGGTTAGGGTTCCTAGGATATCCTTCCTTGGATAAAAATTACCAAATTTGCGATTAATCTCAATTGAATCAGAATCCTTATTTTCAATTGAGAACAATTTGATCATCAAATCTGATGATCATTCTTTTTCTATAATCGTAATCGCGAACCTCAGATCGAATATCCACAATCGCACGATATCGATCTGAGTTAAGGAAAAGAAACAAATCTGGTTAGAGAATGATCACAAATCCTCTAGGCAGATCCATGGAATCCCTTCCCCTTAGGTTGATTAAAGGGGTTTTAGCCTAGCATGGCTAGGATAAACATGATTAAAAAATTAAAATAAAATAAAAATAAGAAGAAGAAAAAGACGAAGAACGCGAAGAACGCTTCAGAGAAAATCCTTTGATCCCAAAATTCAAAACCCAAACGCGTCCAACTTGGCATCTGAAATCGACCAGCTTCCAGTCCGAATTGGGCTTCGAGCTCTGCATAAGAATCGTAGCCCTCTGCGTTTTCTGAAAAACCCAACAATAATGAAGTCAATCCGACAACTGTGGACCGAGATATGGCCAGAATACAGAAATAACGTAAAGCTGAAAAATTCTGACGAAAATAAATTAAACCCAATCAAAAACTAAAAATCTAAATTAACTCTAAAAATCATTATTTTATTCAAATAAATCCTAAAAATACTAATCAAGAGTAACAAATAAGTGTAATAAAATATGAGTTATCAGTGACCTTGCTGGACACTATTATTACTTGTGACCCTTTGGACACCGAGTCGTGAGGGAGGATTTAGCTTGACAGGTAAGCTTTCGTATCCTCGATTTTGCCATTGTTGGTTCTACCATACCTCATGGAGGGATGGTTTATATGCATGATGTGTTTTCATGTATTGATATTTGAAATGCGATTGAGCTGTTAAGTGCAAATGCCTTATGATATGTATGTGATGTTCCGCCCAGACGGTAAGCCTGAGTATGTAGCATCATACAATATGGTGATCCTGTGGGCAGGTACAAGGAGCACCTTGTACTACTGTGGGTTGCAGACGTATGTAATTTCTGCATTTTCTCTGGCCAATAGGATTTTGACACACATGACATGTTTATAAGCTGCATTGCACTGATTTCTGAACTTATACTATTATACTGCTTATTGAACTTATATTACACATGTAAGTGAGTTTGGGGTGAAGAGATCCTTGAGGACCCCTTGTCTTACTGAGATTTTTTTTTAGAGATCTCACCCCACGTTTGGGGCACATTTTCAGGTTCAGGTACCTCAGGGATTGATACCTCGGGCGGCAGGAGGCCGGAACTTAGTTGAGCTGATTGATTCATGCTTGCTGTGTCTAGTTATATCTTATGATTATACCTGCTTTACATTTTATGACGATTGTATTGAGACTTGATTATTATGTTGTTATTTGGTGAGCATAGGGGTTATCCATGCCACATTGTTTTCAGACATGTTGATTTAGAATTGAGTTGTATAAAGTCATCAGGATAATGTCCGGACTACGTGTTGTGGATCTGTGATTTAGATACGCATCTATATATGAGGTTATTTAGTGTAGATAGCTTTTATTGCAATTTACATACAGGCAATATTTTAAAAATGGATTAAGTAATCAACTTAGTTAATATTAATGACGTCATAATTGAAAAGAAAAAGTTAGCTTCCGCATTTAATTGAGCTGCGCTTAATACCGTAATATGATAACAAATCCGGATGCATACGGGGTGTTACAATGTCAAATCGAGTTGGAAAGAGAAACAAATTGGGTTCAAAATGAGGTGCAGGTCCTCAGGATTCAACCATGGAATCCTCAACCCTTGGGTTGATTAAAGAAAAGAGGAGAGAAAAAAGACGAATATTATATTAATTTCAAAACTGTAAAATTCAAATTCAAACGAAAGATAATCCACAAGGTCCCTACTCTCGCCCTTTTATCCTCTAATCAAGCTGGGCTTCGGGTTCTACAAATCCAACCCAAAATAAAATAAAACATTAAAACATGGCCTTGGACCCTAAACACATTGGGTTCTAATTTAATTTACAAGTCCAAACGTCAAAATAAATTTCCAGCAAAACGCGTCCATCTTGGGCTCAGGTTTTGACCATTTTTCCATCTGAATTGGGCTTCAGTGGCTGAAATATAGATTTTAGTCCTTTCTGTTAGCTGCAAAACACAATAAGAACGGAGTCGATCTGACATCTGTAGAGTGAGATATGACCAAAATACGAAAGTAGTGTAAATCTTGAAAATTCTGACGAAAATCAATTAAACCCAATTAAAATCTAGAATTCTAATTTGACCCAAAATACCTTTATTTAACTCAAATAAATCCTAAAAATATTAACCAAGAGTAATAAATAAGTGTAACAAAATATGTGTTATCAATGCTCGTGGGTGGATATATTGGAGAATAGCACGCACTGAATTGACCCAGAAAGAGACACTACATGGAAATCTCACAGATAGTATAAATAGGTAATGTCTCTTATTATTTGGGTTTTTCTTTCCTTAGACCTGACGTTGTTATACTGATCTGTGCTCTGGAAGGCTTGCTTTGATTATATACCTGGTATGCCTGAAACATGGAGACTCGAGGTATACTCTTGGGCATGCCCTAAGGACTCAGGGCTAGTGTGACAAACTGAAGGAATTCGCCAATCTCTGTGGGAGATTAGGTTATCTTTAGACTGGTGAAATCGGGATGATATTTACGGGACTCGGGAATCTATGCATAGTAAAGGAGTCATGAGATGACCCACTCTTTAGAGTCCGTAAATGAAGATTCCATGTTTTGGAAAAAGCTAACCCTAAAGCGCAGGGGTTGATACGTTTTCCTTGACCTAGGTCAATGGGACGGATAATCGAGACGAAAAGACAATTCACATGATAACCAAATAGGTATAACAGTTTGATCATTCGATGAATTCAACTAGCTCTGGGACAAAAAACATTGTTAATGTTTTATGTTGTCATTAGATGGATTGGGCCTAATGGGCCCAAGCTCATTTATGTCAGTAGTTATGTTGGGTCTGATGGGTCAGACACAAACACCTTAAGTTGTCTTGAATTCTAGCATATGTGGTTTGGGCCCAATAAGGGATAATGGGTCGAAGTTGGTAAAGCTCACATATTGGGTCAAGAGAGAATTGGTGGCATCATGCACCAAATTGGACTTAATACATGATGTAACCTAATTAATTTAAATGTTATATTAATAAAATTAATTTGGATTCTAATTTTGAATTTTGAATTTTAAATTTGAATTTAAATAAAATTAATTTGAATTTTAATTTTGAATTTTGAATTTGAAATTTGAATTTAAATATAGTCATTAAATTAGATTTAATGAAGATGGAGAAAATAAAGGAACCAATCAATTATATTGATTGACCAAAACTAAGGAAATCAATTAATTAAGTTAATTGGCTGAAATTGGAGAAACCAATCAATTGGATAGGTTGGATAAAATTAAGGAAATTACCAAATAAGATTGAGATTTAATGAGAGCGCTGATTTGACCTAGTTTTGGGTTAATGATACGCCACATATATAGTCCCCTTATTCCTTATTTTTTGTAACTCTTCTTTTCTAATTTTCTCCACCGAAACCCTAGCCAACACACATATCAGTGTGGCGGCTATTAACCAAAGGCGTCACTCACTCTTTGTTCTTTGTCTTGAGTCTAGCAACCTCCATTGAAGGAAATTCGGCATTGGAAGAAGTGTTCTTCTCTTACAAGACAACAAAGTGGTGTGAATTTCCATCGGAAGACTTATGTTCTTCAAGTTTGAAGAATTGATCAAGAATGCATCTAATCATGAATAGTTATCCGAATAAAGGTATCAACTTTAAACTCATGACATGTCTATTGCATGATTCATGTGTTTGAACATGCTTGAGGGTGGGTAAATATTGTTTCTTCCGCACAAATTTTTTAATTTTTTCCTCCTTTATGTTCATAGCCTACAACAGTCGAGTTTCAGTTTTAGGTTAGTCTAGTGTATGCTACATTATAGGTTTGATCTGAATTATATTTAAAAATTAAAAGACCTGACCTATACCTATTAACCTATTTAAGTCTATCAAAAGTTTAATAACTATCAAAATTAGAAAAAAAATTATAAAATCATTTTTTATTAATTAAAATATATAAATAATTATTTTATTTTAATTAAAATAAATAATACAATATAGATTGGTCTATAGATTTATAGGCCAAACTTTATAAAAATAGACCTACAACCTATTTTCTAAGCAAGCTTATTTTAAAACTCAAGTCTGTTCTATTTTATTAAATATATTCGATCAGATCTTGATAAATTGTCTAACTCATTTACACTATTCATTGTGTCTAACAACAAATTTTGGACAAAAAATAGCCATAAGTCCATAACATCCTATTTTGATCGTTATCCTGAGAATATATATATATCTCGTCCTTTTTCTTGTGCAAATAATTGTTTATGGATTGAATTTCATTGCTGGAGGAGGACAACCGAAACATCAAATGTTCCTGGAAACCATAGATAATATCACATAGGTGAATTGGTTAATTTTACATTTTAAAAAAAGTTATTAAGCGTGCAAGCATCCAAAACATTATATGCAATATTAAGTGAATTCTATGCAATATTAAGTGAATTCTCTCCAAATAATATGTATTTCACATCAAAAGAGAATATCAAATGCTAAAAACTTCAACTACTTGTCAAAAGTAAAAGCATCCGAGTAAGTTATACAGTTTCCATTCCTCTCTCTGAACCAGCCCTTCACAACCGGGAATTTGTATTAACAAATTTAGGTCCTAAAGCTGGAAAGGGCCCAAAAAAGAGAAGAAAACCCGTATGTTTGCAACCAACAACCACAGTGGTAAATAAATATATCCTACAGTTTGCTTATGGGATGTAACTAACGCTCTCTACAAACGCCTACATGTAAGAGGAGTCAGAGTGAGCCAATATGCTTTCCCAAGAAGAAAGGAAACAAGCAAAAGGTAAGGATTATCCACAGCAGCCACCCTTCTTTTGACTCATGTCTTCGGTAGGAACAATTATCTTGGTTCCTTTCAGAAGCCCTGAACTACCACTAGGATCTCCATCATCATTGGCAATAAGTGTTTTCTTGCTGATAATTCGGTATATCTCAGTTAGAATAGTCAGAAATGCAGTTTCCACATTAGTGGACTCAAGTGCCGAGGTCTCCATGAAGAATAGGTTCTCTCTTTGTGCAAACTCCTGTGCATCTTCAGTTGGCACTGCTCTAAGAGTTCCCAGATCACACTTGTTGCCAATTAGCATTATTACAATGTTTTTGTCAGCATGACCTCTCAATTCCTCTAACCATCTTGCCATGTGATCAAATGATTGACGCTTAGTCATGTCATAAACTAACATTGCTCCCACAGCACCGCGATAATATGCACTAGTTACTGCCCTGTACCTGAAAGAGAGAAGAAACAACTTTTAGAAACTGAGTGGCAAATAAAAGCTTCAAACTCTCAAAACTTTGAAATGAAACAATTCAGGTTGTAATCAACTAATATGCAAATCATGTTGGATAAATTAATAATATAGTCTAATAATATGTTCACATACAAACCCAATAAGTGAGAGCATGGTTATTTAGGTCCATATGAGTTAAAGCCCAATAGCTTATATTATCTCTACGGTTTTCCCTAAGCTGAAGGTAATACTGAAGAACATTCCAAATCTGATGCCTCTTATTATAATATTTCAAGCATCTCTAAAACTTTCTCTATCAAACCCATAAACTCCAACAAATCAAGCTAATGCAGAGAACTATCCCAGCCAAATAAAAAGGAAGCAACACAACTTAGTCATGCATTTGTGTTTCCGGGCAATCGGTTCATTCTGTAGAATAAAAAATGAACCAGTTCCATCAAATACTATTTCTAACCATTTTTTGTTCCCCAAACTAAAAGTAAAGAAAAAAAGGCATTTCCGGAAAGATTGTCATGTGTACCCTTGTATGACCTTGCACGCAAAAATAAGTATCTCAACAACCCAGAACAAGGCACAGTTAACAATATGACCTCAAATTTAATAACCACTATACAAATCTTAATCCCAAAATCCTCTAATTCCTAACAACCCTAGTTCCTACCTACATTTGCTGAATGAGTTCCTAATGTACTTCCCTTTTCCACTTGCATCCATACATCATAAGGACGTGAAAGCCACAACCAATCAATTTAGCATTAAACAGTCCTAATTAGTTCCAATACTTGAAAAAAATGACCCACGAAAATCCATTACAGAATAAATGATATTCGAGCAACCAAGATGACATGCAAATTCTAATCAAAGACTAACAAAGAAAGGGGCAATTATGAATTTTTTTTATTATTTATTTATTTCATTTCAAGTTTTTGCAATTATGAATTGAGGCAAAAACAATTAACATAAGAGAAATCGAAAGGGAGAGGAACCTTTCTTGGCCAGCAGTGTCCCATATTTGAGCCTTGACGGTTTTGTTATCAATGATGAGAGTTTTGGTCTGAAACTCAACACCGATTGTGGCTTTGGAATCGACGCTGAATTGGTTCCTGGCAAAGCGGGCGAGGAGCTGGGTCTTGCCGACGGCGGAGTCGCCGATCAACACCACTTTGAACACGTAATCGATCTTCTGGTTGTAATCGCCGTACAGATTCGACATCCCGCCGCGGAATTGAATTTAACGTAACAAGAATCGCTACGCCAGATGGAAATAAGTGCTGCCTTTCAGATCAATCATGGTCGTTTGGGCCTTTCTTGTTTATGACTCTTCTCAGGGATTCAATCGATCACTTTTTCAGAAAATAAAAATAAGAAAAATATAATTATCAAAGGGAAAGGCAAGAAATGGTGGTTTGGGTTGACGAAAAAACAAAAACGGTGTGAAAGTAACGTAGAGGTTGGCGATTTGGGTTTGGGATGGACCACCATAATTCCCTTGTTTGCGGATGCAAAATAACTCGATACCTTTTTTCTTTTTAATTTGAAATTTATTATAGCAGATATTAGGAAAAGGGATCATACAAAGTAGATTAATGATTATAATTTTGTAATTATTTATTTTAAAAAAAAATTCTTTTTTTATCACTATTTATTCATTTTTTTCTGATTATGATTCTCTAATATATCATATTATATTAAAAAAGACATGAGAGGATCAACTTTCAAATATTAGATATATATGATAAAAATAAATCTGACCCGTTGGATCAACCCGTATAACCAGCTCCGTGATTAAGGTTAAAAGGGGTCAAGTTGAGTTGGAGTAAATTGACCTGTGGTTAAATTTTGATTTTGACCTTAATTACATAAAGAGAAATATTATTCTTATGCAACATAAGATAACACTCTTTTCTACACACTCATTGATTTTCGTGTAGTTTAATTTTCATTTTTTTATTTTTTATAAATGAGTGGACCCTACCCATGATTGTCTCTATGGTAGGAGAGAACTTCTCTCCTACAACATAAGATTAATAAAGCCCTTACATAAAATATTCCATTTTTCTTGTAAATCATGTCGACTTAGGCCTATTTGATAGTATTTTAATTTTTTTCCTTAAAATTATTTTATAGAAGAATCAATAAAATGAAGGTTTTCTGTATATTTTGTATTTTAAAAATTAAAAGTCAAAACCTAGGCCTGTTTGATTAGTGTTTTAGAAAATAATTTTTTTTTTTTTGAAAATTAAAAAAATAAAAGTTATTTTTTAAGTGGTGTTTTGTAAAAATAATTTAAAAATTAATCATTGCTTTTTATTTTTAGAATAAAAATTTCATAACATCTTTGGTTTGTTTTGATTTTCACTTTTCTGTTTTGAAAAGCATAAAAACATCGAGAATATGGTATTTTCATTGAGGAAAATATTATTCTCATTTTATACGAAGTAATTGTTTCATATTATCTCACTTCGAAAATTTCACTCACTTTTTTTTTATTCTTTAACGAGTTTCACATGACTTAGCATTCGCCCTTTCATTAATGGTATTCTCGCCCCAAATAAATGATCATTGCATCTTCTCGAATAATCTCTTTGCACACCAACACTGGTAGTGGTAACACGCTATTATGCTTGTGAAATACAGGAATCGCTTCTATCACAAATTGCGCTGGTGTCCCAAGGTCCACCGTAGGCCCATTTGGCTTATTTTGCTGGTTCGAATTTATTCCTTTCACCGAGGCTTTCTGCGTCTTTTGGCCCTTTTATTGGCGCCAAAAACAAAAGATTCCTTATTTATACCACAATCACTCTTCTTAATTAGATCGTTGGGATTTGGTGTCCCACTGTTTGTAACGGTGCCACTCGTAACACTTTTCTTGAGGATTTCTACATTATTAGGCCTTGCCAATTTCAAACTTTTTCCTGTTCCATTAACCTCGATGGTTTCTGCATTATTAGGCCTTATTGGTTTCGAACGTTACCTGTACCATTATTGTTGGAATCAGTTACAATTTTGGGCTGCTGTAGTCCAGCACCACTCTCGGTTGGTTTCTGCAGGCCTTCGTTGGCGGCTCATGATAAGAGGAATTCTTATCGATGGCAAGAAAAATTAGAAGAAGATACTGAATTGTTGTATTTCTGAATGATAAAATGCCTCAATGTTACAAGTTCCTATTTATACCCTCGATAGTCTCCTTGTAACTAGTAAACAACAGAATAACCAACAAAAGTAACAGACTAACAACCACATGTTCCCAAGTGACTAATCTATCAACGATACATGTTTACAGAATAGTCCTTAGCCCACATTGGGGCTCCTCTGCTTCTAATTGGCTTCCTCGACGTATCACTTGTCCCTTCTTCAGATGGAACCTTGTCCTCAAGGCTCAAATGGGGATAGCATTGCTGCAATTCATGTTCATCTTCCCAGGAAGTATCCTCTGGCAAAGAATGAGACCATTGAATAAGCCATTGTTTAGTGAGGACTCCATTGACATTAACATTTCTAGACATGAAGGCTGCAATCGGTTGTTGTAAAGGAAGATTATCATAAGACAAGGAAGGCATGGAGAGCACGGGTAATGAGGAATCACCCTTGAATGGTTTCAATACAAAGACATGAAAGGAAGGGTGTATTTTACAACCGATTGGTAAATCTAATTGGTAAGCTACTGGACTTAATACCCCGACAATTGGATTTATGATGATATGCATACCGGTAGGGTCGTACAGTGACTGCTTGTGCTCCAGGAATCAAGTTAATGGCATGATCACAGTCTCTCTTTGGAGGAAGTTGCTTAGGTAGTTGAAAAACAGATTGGAATTAACTTAACAATAACCAAATATTGGCTGGAACATGATCCTTAATAGCAACCAATTCAGGAAGCATATCAGTTGTAGCAGAAGATGGGTCAGGTGCTAATAAGGAAAAACATTTGGCAGACTGGTCAGTAACCTTATAAAATTTCTGATCACCATGTAAAGTAACTAACCGTTCCTCCAACATGAATTCCATAGTCATCTCACCATAATCATGTAGTACCTTGCCCAACTGTTCGAGCTACATGATACCCAAAATGATGCCTGTACTCATAGCTGAGTCAATGACCCATAAATCGACGGTGAAATGATGTCCTTGAATCTGGATGGAGACATTGGAACACTTCCTGTCACATAGCATAAATGCACCATTGCCCAGATATACATTCATCCTTTGAGTCTTGTAAACAGGCAAGCATAAGGTGTCTACCACTTCTCTTTTAATAAAGTTGTGTGAACTCCCAGAATCAACCAGAGCCAATATCGAATGGTCTCCTATGCTAACAGAAAATTGGAAGGATCGAGAGCTGTTATTACCTGACAAGGAATGTAAGGCTGCATCCAAAGGTGCAATGTCAGTGGCATCCGGTTGCCAAACAATATGCTCCTCAGAATCCGGGTCTTCATCATCCATATCACCAATCATCAATAAAATTTTAGCCTCACAGCGATGACGAGAAGTCCATTTCTCATCACATGTGTAGCAGAGACCCATTTCACGATGTTTCTGTAAGTATTCATTAGACAACTTCTTAATCGATAAGTTGGATGGTAAGGATAATTGATTTGGGACTGGAGTTGTCGTAGGTGGTAAGGCTAGGGTATTTGACATATGGCTTGTATGGCTACTGTCTGAAGATGGAATGGGTTTCTAGAAATGCTTCTTTGGAATATATGGAGTGGAAGAAAAGGATGAACGAAGGTCAACAAAATGAGCTTCATACACCAATGCTAATTGCATCGCTTGATGAAGTGTGGTAGGGTTATGAAGTTGAACAACCCTTCGTAGATCTGAGGAAAGCCCAGACACAAAGAATGCCATTAAAACGTCATCAGAAAAACCCGTAACTTGATTGATCAATGATTCGAATTGTTGGGTATACTCTGCTAAGGTACCTGTTTGAGTGAGTTTAGACAAAACTCCACGGAGATCCATGTACGCAGAACCCCCAAAACGTTGGCAGGCTGCAATCTTGAGGTCGTGTCAGGTGCAAATTGATCCTCTGTTAAACAGCCACTGGTACCAAGGAGAAGCTGGTCCCTCCATTTTTAACCCAACAAGCCGCACCTTAAACTCTTCTGGAATGTGCTGTAAGTCAAAATACAATTCGGTTTTGAAGATCAAACCTTGTGGATTTGTCCCATTGAAGGAAGGAATCTCCATGAGAACAGTCTTCAATGGTAAAGCAAAATCTGACATCGTGGCTTTGTGGTTACCAAAAGATGCAGATGCTACCTTTGGTGATGGGCGAGAATGTGTGGTGGAAGTCTCCTTTCTCGCGCGTTTGTCTCTGCCAAGAATCAACTCTTGAAGTTGCTGCATTTGCGCAGTCAAATTACCTAACTGAGTTTGGGTTTCGCGTTGACTCTCCACAAAACGCTGATCAATGCGAACTTGAAAAGCGTGATTCTCTTCCCTGTCTTGATCGAATCGGAGTTGAAGAGAAGAAAACTCCTCGGCGAGTTCTTGCATCCTCATGATGATGGAAATGAAAGCACCAATGATAAGAGGAATTATTATCGATGGCAAGAAAAATTAGAAGAAGATACTGAATTGTTTTATTTCTGAATGATAAAATGCCTCAATGTTACAAGTTCCTATTTATACCATCGATAGTCTCCTTGTAACCAGTAAACAACAGAATAACAGAATAACCAACAAAAGTAACAGACTAACAACCACATGTTCCCAAGTGACTAATCTATCAACGATTACATGTTTACAGAATAGTCGTTAGCCCACATTGGGGCTCCTCTGCTTCTAATTGGCTTCCTCGACGTATCAGCTCACCAGCATCCACAGTCCCATCCCAGATTACTCATCAACTTTCTCATGGATCTCATCTAGTGGCAGACCTATTTGGTTTTCTACGTGTGCAAGTGCACACATAAATTTGGTCATACATTTTTTTTAATAAAGAAGAAATATATTTTTTAATTAATTACGAGTGTCACTCAAGGAGTAATTTTAGTGGCCGTATTACCAGGAATAAAACACAAATATTAAGAAAGAAATACATCTTATCTGCTGCTTATGTTTTAGTGATTTTATATCATTAAATTGATTACTATTTTTTTATGTTAAGTTCAAGTTTTCTTTTCTTTTGTTGTTTGAAGATTATATCCTTCATATTATATGATGAAATTTTTTGTCAAGTTATATAATATTAAAGAAAGTGAGATGATACATTATTCAATGAATTGATCTTGTCTTTTTCTTAACATGACAAAAAATTTGGTTCATGTAACATAAGGGATATACATTTTTTTTATATTCTTTTATTTTTAAATGCATTTTAAACTTTGTTTAATTTTTTTTTTCCGAAAACACTGCCCCCAAATCCCCTCCACTAAATATTTAAACTAAATATGTACACATAAATAAAATTTTCTGGGTCCGCTAGTGATTCTCGTCGAACAGTGGTTGTGGTTGAGGATTCATGTCTCATTGGCACTTTGCACACCAAGATGTGGACATTGCACCTTCGTACGGCCGTAGGTACAATAGTTGAAACAGACAATATATAAGCCCTCATACTCTACTCTCTTCCTCCTCCATTCCAGTTTGTATTCTGATTTGAGTGGTTGCGCCAGGTTGAGCTCTACACAAATATGGGCATATCTTCCCCGAGTACAGGTAGCACTCGTGTTGTTTATCCTTAGAGTTTTACCCAGCTAGTCTCCTATTTCTTTTAACAAGTGATAATCATAGTATTCAATGGAATGTCTGGAAGAAGCACCCATGTCCTTGTTTGGTGTCATGCATAAGATTTGATAGTATAAGCTTATACTATGGGCATGTTTGGTGTGACGTATAAGGCCAGATAGTATAAGCTTATACTATACGTTATGACATTTTCAGTTGTTTGGTGTGACGTATAAGATCAGATAGTATAAGCTTATACTATACGTTATGACATTTTCAGTTGTTTTGTGTGACCATCGTATTATATAAGCTTATACAGCATAATCCCTTAATACATCAAAATGATGTATAACTTAATCCGGCCTAAGGGGAAGGGATTAGGCCTGATAAGGGGTTAGTGTATTAACATCGTTGACCAGAGCATTTCTCAAAAACTAATATATTGTTTTAATATTAATATATTAAAATAAAAATTAATTTTTCAATATATTAATTTTTTAAATATTGAATATTAAATATTTTTATTTTTATAAAAATTAATTAATTTTTTTGGACACACTAATCAATAGATTTTTATAAAAAATAATATCATATGAAATTTTTTGAAGAATTATATAAATTTTTTATCAAAGGATATTTTTATTAAAAATATTTATTTTTATCCTATATAGTATTATACAGTGCATTACCAAATACTAAATGATATTATCTTGTACAATATATTATTTTATACAATATCATGTCAAACGCTGGATGTATTAAAATTCAATCAAGTCTTGTACAATCAGGCCTTATATTATCAGGTCTTATACTATCAGGCCTTATATTATCAGGTCTTATACTATCAGGCCTTATCCTATACTATGCACCAAACATGCCCTATATGTCATAATATTTTCAATTTGTATAGTATAAGTTTATACAGCAGAAACCCTTAATACATCAAAATAATGTATAACTTAATCAGACAATAATGTATAACTTAATCAGGCCTAAATGGGTGGGATTAGGAATAAAGGGTTGATGTATTAATATTGCTTACAAGTACAATTCTTAAGAACTAATATATCATTTCAATATTAATATATTAAAATAATTTTTTTTAATATATTAATTTTTAAAATATTTGAGGATATTATCTTATACAATACCATACTTTAGATAGTATTAAAATTTAATCAGGTCTTATACAATCAAATCTTATACTATCAGATCTTATATTATCAAGTCTTATCCAATAGTATCCACCAAAGATGCCCTAGATAAGTTTTGATTAGATAAGAGTACTTGTTCTTTGCATTTGCATCCATATCTCTAATACCATTAACTCCATTTCAATTATATTCTTGTGAAACTTAAAACGACATGAGATGGCAAGGTGTTGATAAGTGGGACCAATTGTCATAGGTATTTTAAGGGAAAAGAAAAAGAAAGAAAATTATCTGCCCCATGCTTTTGCTCTCTTTCTATTTTTTCCTTCTTGACGAGGAAACAGGCAGGGGATAAGATAAGGGAGTATCTAGCAGGAGAAAAATAATCTAGTAGGTCTTGCACGTAGTTGCAGTTGGTCATAAATGAAGGCGTGCGTTAACCTTTTCCATTCGGACAAAGAGGTCAACATCAAATCATTAGCGACACTTTACAGGTCGCAATATGCAACTCATACCATTAAGGGCAAAAATATTCAAATGTACTTACATCAATAGCCATGCACATTCCTTTTACATATGTGCTCCATTATTTCAATAAGAAGCGACAAATAGACCTCATCAAAATCCTATGTAACATAACTACTTTAACATTTCTAGAAAAATAAAAAGAGTACATAACTTTAAAAGAAAAACATTTATTATATCTCTGCTATACAAAATTACAAATACACTATTTGATTTATTGACTCTGTAACTGAAATTTGAAACCCCATTAACTTAAAGAACCTTTATGTCGTGGTGAAGAACTACATGCTACATTTTGCGTCACAATAAAGATAATAGCATCTTATTTAGCCTTTCTTTCTGTCTATTTATGTTTCAGCATGAACGTGTGTAAGTACCCGATCCTAGCCATCTTTGCATAATTTCTGTATTGCTGGTAAAAGAAGGTGGTTAAGCAATTTGATTTGTATCTGCCTTCTGCATGGTTATACATTTGCAGTTTGCTCGTTTTTCACTTAGATTCTGCAAGTAATTGAAAAATGAGCACAAAAATGAACAAGTAAATGATAATTACATGAACAAGTAAATTCTCTCCTGATGTACCTTGAATTGTTTCTGAAGATCTTTAATGTATTCAACAGCCAAGTCCAACATGTCTGCTGTGTTAGTTTGCTGCCAAGAACATGAAGAATGTTAACTTCCAAACAAAACTATACCATTCTGATAAATATAATTTATATATTCCATGGTCGGGAATGGATCTTCTCCTGTGACATATGGTCATGTGATAGAATATCAGTCATCCGGGTATAAATCAAGGGTGCGAAAAGAATAACCATTGATTTGTATCTAAATAGCAGATATCCTCTCACATAACCTCACATCACAGGAGAGGATCAATTTCCTCCACCATTAAATGTGCTTGATGTGTCTTACCTTGTCCATGTTTGGGACAAGCTCTTGTAATTTTCTCATTCGCTCACTGATCCGGGTTCTTCTCACCTGAAAAAAATTATTTCTCAGAACCATCTTTTACAAATTATTTCATGAATTCAACTTGATCCAAATAAGGTCTTCCTCATTGTTTTGGCAGAGGAAAGGACTAAGAATTACTTCATCCTACCCATCAGAAAAAAAAGGGGAAAAAATATTTCATTCCAATATAGTTAGTAACTCCTCATTACAAGATAATGTTTTTGCATATAGACATAATCCTACCCTTTCAGCAATGCTTCGAGGATGAGTGGCACAACCTCGCTTTGCTCTAATTTTACAAGGAACAGAATCTGGAAACTGAAGCAACTTCTCCATAGCAATCATATCTTCTGAAGTTTTTGGTAAACTCAAGTGATGGGATAGTAAATGAACTTGATTTCCTTGCTCTCCATTCTGAGTACAACAATTTATTTGTATTAAGAATAAGAAATGAAACTAGAAGAACAAAATAAGGAAACGAGCATCCTATATATATACATATATATATATATACCTGAACATCAGAAAATAACTTTTCATTACCACTTCGCCCTCTTTTTAAGCCACTGAGATTTCCTGAGAGTTGTGGAGTATCATTCCAAGAATCATAGGGGAAGCCAGAGCCATACTGTTGAGCATCACCATTGTTACCTCCATGCCTCCCATCATCAGGACTAGTTGCTTCAATATCCTCACTTCCTATTTCAGAAATCTGTGACAACATTCCCAAAGAAGAAGCACTTTTTGATGAGAAGCTAATCTGATTCTTCAATCTGTTAATAGACGGACTAAGTTCACCATTACTGCCATTCACTGCACCGTAGTTTCCAACACCTTTCAAGGTGGCAAACCCTGCAATTTATAAAAATATAACATCTCAATAGCCATTGAGAATGAACAAATTCATCTCAGTAACATTGTACCGAAGAAAAATAAAATCATCTTATCAACATAAGATACAGGATCGGATCTGCTATAATATTCTGTTATAACGTTCTAAATCCTCAAAATGAAGTTGCTACAACTGCATGCAAAACATAAGCTTAAATTTCCAATCTTGTGTCTGTAACTACACCAAGTGATAAAATAAAGGTTAGTTTCACCAAAATAAAAAATAAAACTATAAAATAAAGGCTAAAGCATGAAAGACTTGAGCTGAATACAACAAATACCAAGCATAGCTAAATTTCACTCGGTAAAGAGTTTGAGATGTTTCATCTCCCTCACAGGTATAGACAATTTGGATCATCAGATTCTAAACAACCATAAATTGGACAAAATGTCCCCACCAGAATCATTGTTTCAATTTTATATTCTTGAATTTCTAGGCTTGCAAGTTGCAATTATAGCTAGAGCCGGTTACAGGACAAGTTTAGGGTATTGGTAAAATTGCTCTTTTGTGACCGAAAGGACATGGGCTCAAATCCTAAAAGCAGCTTCTTTGCAAATATGTAAGGGTACTATGTGCAAAGATTGTCATCATTTCCACCCTTGCTAGTCAGAGTTTAGTGGAGAGTGAGTTTTATAGCTAGGAGCCAATACTCATTAGATTATTACTCTTAAAAAATGCAGGGATTCAGATTATGAATTATGTTTTATTCACACTAAGCTTCCAATTCACCACAATAAATAACTGACATCATGTATACACATTGAATTCACGTGCCTTTCTATTTATATGATCTTCATGCAACACATCACCGCTCACAATTGAATTCCCAACATTCACAACTATAAATTCTATTCCTAAAAGCAAGAACATGAACATTAAAATTTCCAAAATAGAGTGCCTAAAAAATCATAAAACGAAAAGAGGAAGCAGAGCAGAAACAAGCAAGATACCATTTTGAAAGGAAATGTTGGAGAAAAGGCCAGCCGGGGAGCTACTCTGCCTGAGAAGATTTGAACCAAAGTTCTTGTTGGGTGCTTCGTGATCCATTCCCAACGAACCCACCAACCCAAATGAACCATCCAAGGCAGAACTCGAAGTAGCAGAAGAACCATGCCTTGGATAGTGAGGTGGCAAGCCACCACCACCATAGCCCTGCTGCTGAGAATTCATACGACTCAAAACCTTAGGAGAAGGCTTTTTCTCTTCGATTTCTTGGAAGCTAGAAGAAGCAGAAGTATCGTTGCTTCTATCAGAACCACCGTAACTCGTAAATCTCGAAATCAATCTCTCTGATTCAAGACCCTCCCAGAGGTTGTTGCCCTTGTTGACAACAGCAGCAGCAGAAGAAGGTGTAAGATTTGCAAGAAGTGAACTTGGTGCAGAACGAAAACGAAGCAACCCAGAATTGGGTTGGTTATGTTGTTGTTGTTGTTGTTGTTGTTGTTGTTGGAGTTGATAACCTTGATGAATATTTGAATCCATTATTTCTATTGAATCTATTCTATATATGTATATGCTTATCTGGGTCACTCACTGTGTCACTGTTAAAAGATAAAAAGTCATAAGGATATAAGAAGCAGGGGAATCATTATCAAAAAGATTGGTTGCTTTATCTCCGAAGGAAAAATTCTGAGAATTTTCACTTTTTTTTTTAAAGATAAATTTTTTGTTCAGCTTAGTTCCTAAGCTGGGGTGGGATAAGATCTTGTAGGAGAAGCAACAAACAAACCCAGTGGAACCAAAAAAAAAGAAAAACCTAGCTAGCTTTGCACACAATTCAAAGAACAAGAGGAAACGGTGGATATGGTGTTGGGTAGAATTAAGAAGAGATAGAAACACAGATAGATCCAGTGAAAAGGACAAGGAGAGATATGTTGATAGGTATAAATAAAAAGGATGTACAAGGTGGTGCTGCTGCTGCTGCTGCTTCAGATTTGCCTTAGAAAGCAGTGAAAACAGGTAAGACCTTATGAATGAGAGGTAGAGAGAGGAAATAAGGTGGAGAAAGAAAGAGAGAGGAAGGCAGTATCTATTTTATATGGGTTGCTAAGTTCAGCCAATAAGAAAGTACATAAAGCCATCAATCTGTGTCCCCACCGATTACTCTCTCTCTCTCTCTTGCCTTTTGGACACAGGATTCACGGTAAAACATGAAAATAACGGAAATTAATTGACATAAGATGTCGCTGTTTGAAACGTAAAAAGAAGATAAAAAAGAGTTAGCATTACTGCTTCAATCTTATCTCTATTTTTTTTTAATTAATTAGAATAAGGACTAGAATAACTTATAAAATTGTGTTTTTATAACTAAATTTTTTTAGATATACGAGAAATGCTATATTTATAACTTCTTTTTCTTACGACTTTTATAACTAAATCTTAATTGCGTACAGTTGAATTTTGTCAATTTGACATTTATAATTTATTAAAAATTAAAAATTAATTAATAAATATGATTCAATAAATTATAACTATTAGATTGGTGAAAATGGGGAAGGTTATACTTACAACCTATTTTCTTTACAACTTCTTACAACCATATATCTTAACCGTTGATTTCGTCAATCAACGGTTAAGATTTTCGCAAATTAAATTTATTAATTAATTATTAAATCACAATAAATAATAACCGTTGATTGGCGGAAATCAACGGTTAAGATATATGGTTGTAAGAGGTTGTAAAGAAAATAGGTTGTAAGTATAACCTTCCCCGGTGAAAATTATCGGTTAAAATTTGGTTATAAGAAGTTGTAAGCGAAACGAGATTATAAACATAATATATATATATATATATATATATATATATATATATATATATATATATTGAACTTGTCAAAAAATAAATGATGTCATATATCCTTAAAGGGAAATATAAAGAAAAGTAAGGGTTAAAATGAAAAAAAAATCCCGTTTTAATAAAAGGAAGTACCGAGTTCAATACTCCCGTATTATTGAAAAAATTTCCTAACTTTGTGAGCTAATTCACGGGGTGGAGAAATTTTTTTCTTAGCATGGGAAGTGTGATGTTATAGTTATTTCAGTCACATAGGCTCTATTATGGTGTGAGGCAACATGACCCCTTACATAAAAAAAAAATTCATGTGTGTGAAATATGTAAGGGGGCACGTGTAGAAACTATTGGATTTATGCGGAAGCGGTTTAGGATCTAGTACATTGATATGCTTACAGAATCATCCTCATTTCACGATTTCCTTTTGGTGCGCAGATATCGTGTAGAATCTTCCCTTGTATGATTCCTCTTCACGAACTGCTTACCTCAGCGCCGCAGCACGAACAACCTCCTTGAAGTTGGACTGTGGTAGATCTTCCAGACTATGTCTCAAGGGAAAACGAGAAGTGTGTGGGCACTCTCTCACTTTCAGGGAGATGACCTTACCTCAGCCTCTGCAACCACCAAGTAAAGACTAGAGAGGCTGATGACTATAAGAGTGGAATATATATGTTTTCCAAGAAACCCTAGCCCTAAGCAGAATGGGTTTTATGTTTCTTGGGCTCTTCTTACACTCTAGACCCTATTGGGCTTTAGTGAAAGAGCAAAACTCAATAATCTCCCACTTGCTCTTGAGTACAAACTTGAGCCCAAAGCCCAAGTCCATGTATCCCACTAGTCATCATCAACTGAAATTGTCCCATCCCTTTTCTTGAGCTAGTCTGGGGATCTACCATCTGTTATTAATCAAGGCTCTTGATAATCAACAAATGATTATCTAATTCGGTGCTACTCCACTAAAATCCCGAACTTGAACTCCAAGATTAATAACACTTATAACATGAATATGCATCGCCCATTTGTAGAATGTCTATAATTGATTGACAAGTTTTCTGTAACTCAATCAATTATTTATTCCCTTGACTATGATAGTTTCTCTAATGGATTACATGCACTGGCCGGTGTCTTTAATATTCAAGTACCGAAACATATCAATGGGACATATCCTACAAATTTCATGTTGTTTATCTCATAAATACCGCTAATCAAATAATCTCACTCCCAAAATACCTAGTTATTGGCTGTCAATAGATCGAACCTCAGCCGTTGGTAAATCAAAGAATGAAAATTATTTGATTACCTATTTATAATAAACTCAGAATTAAGAGCAATCACATAACTATAGTTAACTGAAGATTTGATACCTTATGACAGAAAAACAACCTTAATCAAATCTCACCTTGATCCTTTCAATGTGAATGTTAACTCACACGAATATTTTACAATGATTCAGACAAAATCATTTCATAAAATATTGCAGCCTAAATAAAGTGCCCAACTTTATATAACAGCTGTGAATCTATTCATCAATTGTGAGAACCTATGATCATGTCCTCCATGAACGTATCCATATGATCATATACTCCACAATTTGGTCCGGACCTTAATGTTTGTAAATAGTGTGCAAAATAAATAAATAAAACCTTATTTATGAAATTCAGAAAATGATATCATTGTTTCATTGTCTTACTCCAAGAGCACAATGAAACCAATAACTCCCACTCGCTTAGTGCAAGTCTGGGATCCTCCTAAGACCCAAAGAAGTTACATGCCTCTTGAACACAAGTTCAGGCAAACTCTTAGTAACTGGGTCTACAAGATCCACCTCTATTCCTATTCTAGTTGAGTATAGTTCGAGGTTGATTTTCTTAAGTCAATATCCACTTGAAATAACTGAATTTGTGAAAACTCAGCTTTTCAAGACTCCCACTAGAATATACCAGCATATAATCTCTCGTTCTCCAAAGATACTTGAGTACATGCTTAACAATAATCTAGTGTTCCTCTAGGTCCAGAATGGTACCATCTCACTACTCCCACTGCGTGACAGATGTCTGGTTTAACCCCCAACATGGTATGCACGAGATTACCTTTTGCCAAAGCATGAGGTATCCAACTCATGCATTCTTCCTTCTCAAGAGTCTTTTGTTACTCCTTAGGGAGATGAATTCCACATCTGAGAATTATAATTCTTCTCTTAGAATTCTCATGTTGAATTTTGGCTAGAGTTTTGTCAATGTAAGTAGTCTGAGGTGATGCCAACAACTTATTCTTCCGGTCTCATAAGAGTTTTATACCAAGAATATAATTGGCTTCCCAAGTACTTCCATACCAAAACACTAACTTAGCCAACTTTTTATGCTTGATACCATGTTGTTTTCAATAAGGAGCATATCATCTACATAAAGTACCAGGAAAAACTATTATCTTCCATTGGATTCTTTACATACAAATACACATCATTCATCAAGGTTCTCTCAAAATCAAAATTTTGATAATCTGATCAAAGACTGATGTTCCAAGACCTGGATGCTTGCTTAAGTCCATGAAGTAAACTTTCACAACTTGCATACCATGTGTTTATGCCAATTTGCTATAAACCCTTTTGGTTGTTGTATGCAGATATCCTGACATCCAACTCCCAAAATTAAATCTTATTATTGAGACTTATAGCAGCAACTAAGAGAATCTGGATAGACTCAAGCATGGCGTCTGGCAAAATTTGCCTCCAAGCTAGATTTGAAAGTTTTCACCTTCCTATCCATCCTCTCTTTGCCTTTTATGTCCACACGCACCTTGTGGGTTTTACTCCACTTGGTGTCTTTACTGGGACCGAACGGAGTTGAAATACAAGTATTCCATCTTATTGTTCATAGCTTGAGCAACACTTGATCAACACCATCTTCTAGTGCATTATCGTACCTAGTAGGATCAATGTCACTCAACAAGAGACAACTTGAGAGTTAACAAGGTTTTCTCCCACTACGAATGTACTGCATTAGACCTTGTGTATTTATAGGTAAAACAAAGAGTGGGTCAAATGGTGGATCTTCAATTTCTTGAGGATTCACTTATTCTTGATATTGTTCCTCCACATGTGATACTAATATTTCTACTAGTTTCACTTATATATTATCATGTTGAATTTCGAATTACGGTTCTCTTGTTTGTTCACCTAGAGATATATCTATCCCCTCTTGAACAATCAAGGGAACAGTGGATGAAGCTTCTAGAGATTATGGAAATTCTTGATCTGAGATAAATCTCATCAAGAATAACCTTACTTAAGAGCTTATAATTTCTCATCTAGTCCTCCTTTAAGAAAATCATGTGAGTGCTCACTTAGATTATCTTGTCCTTAAGACTAAATAAGAAATCATCCCTAGTTCTCTTAGGGTAGCCAAAAGATATGCACTCTTCCATACAAGATTTCATCTTATTTAACTGTTGTTGTAGGACGTGTGCCGAAGCACCCTAAATCTGAATATGGTTTGATCTGGGCTTGCACCCTTTCCATAATTCTTTAGGTGTCTTTACAACAAACTTTGACGAAACCAAGTTAAGAAGGTACATTTCCTTCTCCTAGACATCTCCCTTGAACAACATTGGCAAAGATGAATAACTGAACATGATCTTCACCAAGTCTACAAATGTTTGATTTTGCATACTACAATTTCATTCAACTAATGCATTCCTAGAGTTGACAGTTATAAAACTATCCCCTCTTAAATCAGGTAAGACCTGAACTCACCAGACAAGTAGTCAACACTTTAGTCAGACCAAAGTGTTTTGATTTGAACAGCTAGATGCTTTTCTGCCTCAGACTTAAATCTCTAGGAAATTTCCAAAAGCCTTAGACTTATGGCGCACTTGGTTGATCTGTATAAATCCGAAGTAAACATTCATATAATGAAGTACTCATCACCTCTTCTGGATTGAACGCTAATTGGTCCACATACATTAGTATGTACCAGTTCCAGTTGAATAGTTGCGCAAATCTTTTTGGGCCCTTGTAGGATTGCTTGGTCATTTTACCTTCCAAATAGGACTAACATGTAGCTTTTAGTTTAAAAAATTCTTGAACTTTCAGTCCCTCTTTTAACTAAAACATGTTTCCTACTTGAGGTAATGTGGCTCAACCACAAAGGCCAAAGTTATGTTTCATTTGAAACTTATATTTCTTTG